GCGGTCTCGATCAACCGGGGTCTCGGTTATCAGGAGTCTGTTTATCAACAACTAGCGTTTGTATATACACGTATACAGGGTGTTCCATTTAAGATGACACAGCAATTTTTTAAACAAATAATTTAAAAAGAATAAACTGGCGCGTGTTTTTTTATTTTAATTTATCTTTTAGTTTATAGTATTTTGGTTTTTGTAATAGAGTTTGTGTATATATATACAGGGTGACCTATTTAAAATGATACAGGGAACAATTTCATAAATAAATAATTTAAAAAGAATAAATTAGCCTGTGTTCTTTTTATTTTAGTTTCCCTTTTAGTATTTAATACTTTTGTATTTTTTAATATCATTTTTTAATAACATTTGTATATATGTATATACATACAGGGTGTTTCATTTAATAATAATAATAAATAATTTAAAAAGAATAAATTAGCCTTTGTCTTTGTATTTTAGTTTCCCTTTTAGTAATTAGTACTTTTGTATTTTTGAATAGCATTTTTTAATATCATTTGTATATATGTATACATATACAGGGTGTTCCATTTAATATAACATAGGGAACAATTTCATAAACAAATGAGTTAAAAATATAAACTTACGCGTTTTCTTATTATTTTAGTTTCTCTTTTAGTATTTTGTAATTCAAAATGCTACAAGTCAGATTGTTTTCTATAAATCAACCTCCTACGGAATTTCCCATTGTGTCAACTTAAGTGGAACACCCTATGTACACGAATGTTACGATTTCCTTACGTGTCTACAAAATTTTCTGTCTCGATTACTTACTCGTCACTTTGAGAAATCAGTTGATACTATTGCTCTTACATATTATGTAACTGAATAATAGCAGAGAAAATATGAGTTGCATGACTATCGAAAAATAAAAACAAAACCTGACATATGCACTATTATTACTATACCATAACTATTACTATGTAATTCATATTTTGTAATCGTTGACACATTATCAGAAAATAAATTTTCCAGGAACAAACAGTTTAATTTGATACAGAAAATGTGTTTAGTTATTTTCCCTCGGGCCTCGATTATCCGTTAGATTCCATTTATCCGGACTCCCTATCTCCCCATTAAACTGGTTAATCGAGGTCCTGCTGTATTTATCATAACTCAAAATATTCAATATGCAGAAATATGTTTTGATTGGCAAATATACGGAATAAAGGATGTTGTTAATTCCAATATATTTTATTTACGAGCTAAAGAGACCTAAGAGTAAAAATAGAAACTAAAAGACTAGCCTAATTACGCAATTCACGTCAACTTTTCGAACTGTCACCGACTCAACTCTCTTTCTAACCTCCTATACAACTTTCACTAACAGGACTGCCCTAGGACTGCCCTTACACCCTCATTTGAACCTTGCACTCTGTCTTCTTTCATACTCAAGCTTTCTTCCTCAATCACGCATTTCCCATAGCCTTGCTCTCACTGGGTCACGTACTAGGTTGCTGTCTATTGCCCGTCACCAGCTACATAGGCCTAAGGGTTCCTTTGCACGAACTCTCCCACTTACTATTCCTACAAATATATTATTTAATAAAACCTTTTCTGTTTCAAATGAACCGATTATCATTTTATATTAAAAACACCTACATTATCTTTTTGTCGATCCAATATTTTACTTTTCGTTTATGAAAAGTAAATGGTAGCTCGATATTATTGCAAAGCATGAGAAAAGTAAATCTAAGGACGTCCTGAATCATACTGGTCTGGTCCTTAATTCTCGAAAATTTTATTTGACAAATCTTGATACGCAATTCCTTCAGCATGGGGTTGGGGAGAGAGAACAATGAAGTGATCAACTTGTTTTCTCGATCTCATTCCACTAGACTTTTATCCCTAGGGAAAATTGGTAAACTTGAATAAAGTTCCAAAATATCTCAGAAATTTTGTGAAAAGGGAGGAGTGGGGGAATAGACTCTAAATCTAAAATTTTAGCCTCCAACGTTTATTAATTTCCGAGATATTAATAACAAAAATGTTGGTACTAAAAATCGAATTTTACTTGTATTGGGTGTGCCAAAATTCACGCAGGAAGTAATTTTGATAGAAAACGTAGGTATTTAATTAAACGTTGTAAATATTGCTTAACAATGAAGACGCGTTGTTCTTTCGCGTAGCACTCCATTTTTAATAACCCTGAACTGTCAGCTGTCACGCTGTCTTTTCTTTTCGTTGGCAATAATTTACTGCACAAATGGCGCCAAATTCAAATCTTACGTGAGTTTTGGGACATCCTATACATATATACGTGCATGTTCATGATGATGTACGCTTTAATTTCCACCGTCATTTCACTATTGTTGCCATGAACACATAGTAGACAATGGCAATCAATATATACAACGGGTGAGCTAGTTGGAAAGTACTCTGCGTTGCTGAAAGGAAGTCATCTGAGAAACTTGTAGGACCGAATCCCCACCAGCCCAACCATTCTAACGTCATGGCAGAAGTAGAGTAAAGCGCTTTCCTTATTGGCAGAACTGATCCCTTCCTATTAGCCCGGTCATAGAACACCATGTGACAAAGAAAGCGAACAAAGCAACGAGACAAAGTGAGACAGACGCAACAAATAGAAGCAAGAGCGTAGACTCATCCCAAAAACATATTAACTTCAGATTCTACCGATGAACACGTGATTATTTGCAATTACTAATTACTAATTAGCATCTTGATTAACTTTTCATTGCATTATGCTGCAAACGTGCTGTACTGTACACATATTTTTTATATTTATGTTGCATCGTATGATTTTTTAAACGGTTATCTAGTACGATGCAATTACATAATTAATTTATCATAAAAGATACATCTTAAATTTTAAATCAATTTTCATAAACGATGTTAATTATTATTACTTTTGTACTCCTTTACCTTATAAATCTTCCGAGCTATTGTCATCTGATTCCTTATCCGACTCACTGCTTTGTATTTCCAATCCTAGGTCTTCAATTGCGTCTTCTATTATTCGAGTGTAAGAATTTTACGGATATCTTACGCCTATGTTAACGAATCACGTTACCGAACTCGGAGGTAGTAGTTTTGGCAGTGTCATAGAAGAGTGGGTATTACTAGTGGAATACCCCTCTTGACCCGCAACCGAACGAGATGACTTCTTCTCAGCCACGCATAGTAGATTTTACTTTACCGCTTAGTTTTCACTACAACGCCTCCCATTCAATGGAACTGACCCACGTAATTCCCATCGTAGACTATTTATTATATCTTTTTCCCAAATTTCGTGTGAGGTATCGTAGAAATTTCATAACGTCCCATAACGACACGAAAAGATACATCTTAAATTTTCAATCAATTTTCATAAATGATGTTAATTACTTTTACTTTTGTATTTCTTTACTTTATAAATCTTTGAGCTATTGTTATCTGAAGGGATCGCCCCCACATTAGTTATAGTGTTGGTCGACAGAGGGACCTAGGTTCGAGAGGAAATCCCTAGTGTCTACGAACTGTTCGCGTGCAATATCATGAGTTTTGGGTATGTCTGTCGTTACTGAATGTAGAGTTTATTTTAATATTTAGTTTTACTACATCATCTTTGAATACTCAAGAATATTTCAATACTCGAGTTACTATATAACATAATAGTTACTATAATACTAATTGACTATCAATTTTTACAATTGTGGTATTGTCGTTTGAAGAAGTTGATTCTGAGGAGTCGTTTGATTGAGCCAATTATGAGAATCAGTTTTCAGCAATCTGTTTTGCGTAGTGAGTTGTATTTATTTATATATAATATATAGTTAAGAAAAGAAAGAAAGCTCTATCCTCGTCACATCCAGTGCTACACAATGTTGCTTCGCACAGTCGTATACTTAAAGCAAATGGCGACACCGAGTCGCCTGTCGAGTGCAAAGAGTTAAAAGACAGGATGATTTGCACACATGAAGTAGCGTCTTAATACTCATAAACGTGGGTTAGGATATTAATACGGTGGTATGTTTGCTACCACTTCTGATCCCAATTGTAACATCTGCGTGTAAATTGATTTAATCGTTATCTCCATAAGCTCCTTAATATCTTTGCTGACTGTCTATTGCGAAATGTCGAAACTGCATTTGATAGTACTGCACGTGTTTCGTGCATGGATTTAGGTCGAAAAATTATATTATAGCGTGTTAGAGAAAGACAGAGGAAGGAAAGAAGGTCATTTCTGGCTTAGGGTCTGATAGTGGACTCACCGATAAGGCTCTATTATCACAACTGTGTTTTAAGAGTAATTATAGCTTAGGTCAGAAATAGTACAGTCAACTCTCTTATGATACGGTACCTTGAACACACGATTTCGGCGAAACACGACACAAAAATTGCAACACTCCTCTTTTGTCACGATATTTTTATACAATTGTTTTCATATGAGCCGTTCACTGCACAAATTGATTAACTCCATAAAACAAAAAGTGGAGAAATGCAATGAAATAATGTATATTGTTTTTTAAAATTCCCTTTATAATTTAAATCGAAATAAATATCGTAGAATGCATAAATACAAATGTAACTTTCATCTAACGGTATATAAAATTTATAAGAAAAAATAGCCAAAAGGTAATCGTTAGTAATGTTACCATTTTTATGTTACTGGAAGAGTTAATCGATTTGGCGATGAAAAAAATAATAAATTTAAATTTTACTAAATTTTACTTAAATTCTGATAAGACGGCACTAAAAAATTCACCGTTATCATTCGTGGCTTGCTAGTGCATTTGAGTTGCATTATTGCAACGATTTACATTAGAGTACGGAGTTAATCAAAGTGATCTCTGAAATAAATTATTTATTATTCAGTGGCCAAAAAATTTTTGTCGTTTAATGGTGTTAATCTTAATTATCAGGGAAAGTTATTATAAATATAAAAAGTTATGACTATACCAAGTGCTTTGACACTTAAATTTAAGATTTTTCAAAAAGTGGAGTTAATCGATTTGTGCAGTGAACGGCTCATATAGTACTACCTCATGAACTTGGACAACTTAGGAATCTTGGATAAAGGTATATCTAATTTTTTGATTGAATGTATGCATAAACTGTTAAAATCGTTAAAGATACTTGGAATAAGTTGCTTGGGTTTGTATTTTCTTTTTATCTGCCATCGTTCATGTGGTTTGAAAATCGACCCTAAGGTAGGGGGTGGGGAAACACATTTGATAGAATATTACATGAATTATTAGAAATAGCGCAATAACATAAATGGAGAAATTTTGCATTTTTTAATGACTAGTCTGACTATCTAAATGAATTTGTAACAAATTTATTTATTTAAATAATAAATTCAATGAATTAACTTTTTGGTTAATTTCTTCTCCCAAATATTTATCCTACATATGGATAAGTCGAAATTTGAGTTTTCTCAATAACAAGAAGGTTAGCAAATTTAAAAAATGTACTTGAATAAACAGAATATATTATGATGAGTATCTGGTTACAAGTGTGAGAAGATCACTATAATATATATCAATTTTGAAAAAATTAAGGAGGTATTGTAATCCAGCCTATAAAAATCGACTTTTCGTGGAATTTTTTCTAAGGAAACTATGAAATATATTGGCATGCAGTTTTCGTACTCAGATTTATTTATACTTGCAGAATATTTCTAATTTTTGGTAACAAAATTATTGAAAATTGTAGAATTTATATGTTTTATTTATATATTATTATTATTTATAATATTATTATTAATCTTAAATCTCTTGAATCCACAGAATTGCTGCCGACCTTTTGTTTCTCTTCAAAATTATAAACGCTATTATAGACAGTCCAGAATTATTATCTTTCATTAATTTTCATGCTCCTTCAAAAAATTTAAGTGACTCGAATCTTTATACCTGACCAGCATAATACTGCACGACTTGATTCAGCAGACTCTATCAATAGAATATGCATTCTTGCAAACAATTTCTCACCAAACCTTCAATTTTTTGGCAATAGTATCTCTTCGTTTGGAAACCAGATCTTAAATCTTTAAGCTAATTATTTATATCGACTATATCGACATTTGTACCATACGTAACCTATATTCTTTCTCTCTGTAACAAACTGATGTATTTTTAAATTTCTTGTTTGTACACTAATAGGTTCTACTACCCCTAAATTATTATTAAATAAATAAATAATTTTATAACCAGATCCCATATTTCGGTGATCACATTTTGCTGACGAAATTGACACTTCGAGAATCCACTAATGAAAGATTTGGCTGAGAAGCTCCACGTTTATTAACCTTATTTAATTCTTGCAGCTAAAGAATGCAAGAAACAGTGGAACAGTCTTCGAGACTGTTATCGAAGAGCTCTAAAGAAGAGGAAAAAGGTGAAGAGTGCGCAGATAGGAAAAATAAGGAAGTGGAAATACGAGAACGAATTATCCTTCTTGGTTCCATTTATAAAAGAAAGGAAGTCGAATAGCCAGTTTAACATGTCCACCAATGACAAGTCAGACGTGGACATAACCTCAAATATCTGTATAGATATGCCATGTACACAACAAATGGAGGAACAAGCATCACCCGAGCCTCGTGATTCAGCAACCGAGATATCTTCGGCTAAGAAAAGGATTAGAAGAAGAACCGAAGCTATGTCACCTGTTTTCATGGACTTCATTTCGAGTAACAAATACGAAAATACGCAGCCCAGAGATGATACAAACGACATCGATTTATTTTTCCAAAGCATGGCATCTACGGTTAAGAAGTTTTCTCCGTATAATCAGGCAGTAGCTAAAGCCAGAATATTTTCTATAATCTCGGAAGTAGAGATACAAGCACTTTCTTCTATGAAATGTACACACTGTTCTCCATACTCGTTGGATTCAATATCGCTCGCTCCAACACCTACATTATCGATAGAGCCTCAGCCAGAACAATCTATTCTGCCATAAACATAAAGACATCGATATTAATACGTAGTTGAGTAGATTTTTATGGATTTATATTATTTTATTATTAATAACTGTATAATTATTAACTGTTTATTATTAATACGTAGATATTAATACGTAGTTGAGTAGATTTTTATGGATTTATATTATTTTATTATTAATAACTGTATAATTATTAACTTTCTACCATTAAACATTTTAGTCTTACAATTGGCGCATTGCTAAGTATCTTTTTTATAAATTTATATCTCCATTTATTAATCCTTCACATGCTATGTGTACCTGTACAGAGAGATTAAAAATTAATGTTCTGTCGTTTGATTTTACTTTCATCAATAAGATTGTAAAAATAAATCAATCTAGGATGTAAATAAATTTACAATGATATTTGCAATTTTTTAATTTTTTCGAAAAGGCTTTTTAACTTCTTTGGTTTTAGAAAATTTTGTAGAAGTAGGTATATCGATATCAGTATTTGTAAAAATTAAAATATTCTCAAAGTACAAAGGGTTAATAAATTGTTTATTATAAATACGTTACCAAGTATTTCTTTCTGCTCTATAATGGTTTCCAAAATTTATAATTCTTTCTTCATAATAAATAGTAAGATGATGCCAAGGTAATTTATTAATATCTGGAATTAATATTACCTATTAATATTTTATTTTTAATGTTTAAACAAATTTTTTGTATCCTTAACAACATGAATAAATAGTATTTCTTTCTGGTCTATAGTGGTTTCCAAAATTTATAATTCATTTTCCATAATAAATAGTAAGATGATGCCAAGGTAATTTATTAATATCTGGAACTAATATAACCTATTAATATTTTATTTCTAATGTTTAAACAAATTTTTTGTATCCTTGACAACATAAATAAATAGTATTTCTTTCTGGTCTATAGTGGTTCCCAAAATTTATAATTCATTTTCCATAATAAATAGTAAGATGATGCCAAAGGTAGTTTATTAATATCTGGAACTAATATTACCTATTAATATTTTATTTTTAATGTTTAAACAAATTTTTTGTATCCTTGACAACATGAATAAATAGTTAAACTAAGTTTGTTTATATACATAAAATATTTTAGTCACAATAGTTAATTATTTCTAAGATATTAAAGTTAATATTCGTTGCATTTTAAAATACTGAGCACAACTCTAACTACAGATATAGAATATCACTAGTAAAAGAAACTATATATTCAGATATGATATTATTTACAGTAACATTTTTATAAATTGCGCTATTGGCTTATCTACATATATATTTTAATCTATGCTTCTATGCGATAAGTGAATGATCGAAGATGTTTTCCTCGTGAATATTGTGTTCTATGAATGATGTCATAACTCATGCTCATAACTCATAACTTTTAACACTTAACGATTGGTTAATGCCGAGAATGATTTTCACGTGAGACCACTTGTTTAAGATACTAATAAAATAAGAAGATATGAACACTATAGGAATATATGTATATACGCAAAAAGTCACGAACCACTGAAATTCGTATGACGCAACTGTTGCGTCAGGGGTTGTCAGAGCAGTATAGTATGCATTGTGTCGTGATTGGTTAGTGACTATCTGATGGAACTGAGTATGTTATATTCAACGGTGGTTTTATTCGTGGTAGAAATTTTGATGCTTTGACAAATATATAAACGGAGTACATTTATAATGCATATGTAACGATTTTCAAGTTAAATACAGAAGGTGTATACAAATTCACTATGCATTTAAAATGTTTATTTCTGGCAACAGTAATAAAATAAATAACCATTAGTAAAAATATCGAACAATTTGAATTAAATAATGTACTACGCGCCATTTGCATTTTACATGTTTTTGTTGAAGTACATATTATTTATTAGTACATTATTTATATTAAAATGAAAGCAATTCTACTTTTTGCAAAAATGTTCCCAATTTTACTGGATTATGTTGTTTCATCAATTACTCGCTACGGTTATGTATGAAAAATTTATACATTCAGAAAAAAAAAAATTTGGAAATTTAAGAAGAAGTTTAACGAGGAATATTTTTAACATTTTCGAAAAAATATAGATACTAAAAAAATTAAAACATAATTGAAATTTGTATCACACGAATTCCAAGTATATCTATATGAATATATATTGATAAAAAACTTAATTTTTCGTTAAATTTATTATATTTATGGAAAAGATTAATTTTTATTATAAAATAATAAAAGAATAGTATTATTTTACTATTTTATTAAATTAGTTTGTTAAAGTAATAGTATTTTCTTCATATTATATTTGAATATGATATGTAAGAAAAAACAAATAAATTTTGCAGTTAACAGTATATAATAAGATAATATTCCTATCGATGTACAGATTACGTAGGTTATACAAACGATGATGTTCACGTAAAATACAAAGTAAATCATTTCCTATTCTCTTACATAAATTGTTGTTCGAAGATTGCTTAGGAATGTTTGTTTCGTTTCCTACAGTAAAAATATCGTGAAGGTTATCCATAGTAATATTTTAAAAATGCACGTAACTCGCAATCTAACAGAATATATTTAATCACATATTCAGAGATATTCAGACAAAATTCAGATTGTAGAAAAAATAGACATTCAGAGATTTGTTCATTAAAAATAATACAGTTGAAAATCAATTTCATATAAAATTGTGATTTTGAGAAAGGAAATGTACCTATTATAATATTTTTTATAATTTTATATGAAAAATGCAAGACCGAAAAACAAATTTCACTTTTTATTTAAGAGATACAATCAAATAATTATAAATGTACGTCGATTTGCTGCATACTGAGAAAATTAGTAATCAATAAACAAAACTTTGAATGTACTAAAATATCTGACAAATTTGTATTTTGTTCTTAACGGGAGCAAATATTCGTTTGCTCGCTATTATTATTCGTTGTTACGAAAAAAACCAATATTATATTTAGTATTTCAAACAAATTCATTTCATTCTACTTATCTCACAATTTTCTTTCATCTTGAACATCTTTACCACAGATTGTGTATATTATTCCTCCAATGAAAACACTCCGAACGTATTAATCTAACTTTCTACTTGTATTAAACGCTGTATATTAAAACATTCAAAGATAACCTAACCACTTTACATTCTAACACGAGCTATTTATAAGCACTAACACCAACATTGCCCTTCGTACAAAAGGTGTACCTTCGAATTTATCAACCCGAAGATATCTCCGCTTCTGCTGCTTTTATCGGTGATCCGAAATCGCGATATTATCGATAGGCGAACATTAACGAAATGGAGACGAGCGAAGCGCCTTCGAGAACACCGAATACCGAACTCGTGATCAAAAAGTTTATGCCCTTCCGTGGTACGAACGCGTCGTCTGTGCTAACGAGAAACTACACTTCGGTGGCTGGGATATTTATAAACGCAATCGGTAGTGGGAGAACAACTGGTAACGTGTCATTGGCAGGTCGGGAAAAAGGGAAAGGAGAAAGAAAACAGAGTTAGTAGGGAATACGTGTCAGTGGTATTCGCATGTTTAGTGATGAATTAGTGATTTTCGAGAATATGTATGATCGTGTGATTAGTGAATTCAAGAGCAGCCAAACTGACGAGGCAGTCTGTATTAATTCTATCGTTAAAACGGCATATCGTGGCTCATTTTCGACACATGCTTCTACATGCGAGAGATCCAAAATATCATGACAGGAACAACGGATGTATTGGTGAGTATAGACGAGTGCACCTCTCTGTTTAGCTATTAGTTTTGTCTTTTTACACGCAAACGAATATTGTTTGGAATCCGATTAGGTTATGTTGTCGAGCACGAGGCTGAGCGCGAACGAAAGTCGATCAAATGCGCTTGCGTGTATGCGCTTACGCGCCTGCATATGGCGTATGTGCATTCATATATCTGAAATATCATTGTACAATTATTTTTCATGGATTTACAATTTTTAAATAAGCGATTTCGTAAGTTTCGTAAGTGACGAGTCGTGTTAATGTTGCATCAAGGCTGTTATTGCGTATTTTATTAATTCAACAAATAGCATCTGTTCTGATCAATGTGTTTCGATGTAAATACAACCGAGTTTGATGTATTTGATACTTCGTGATCATATTTCATGAGTGGAAGTGAAAATAAATAATGTACAGTGTAAAATTAATTATTGATATTTTCTTCATTATTTAAAGTTTATTTAAATTATTAGTGTATTAAATTTTTTGGAAAATTTGAATTTTAAATAAGTAATTTAAATAAATAAACTATATTAACGAGTTATATACGTTAAGATATATTCATAAAATATACATTTTTTAATATATTAAATTGATGTATTGAATAATACTAAATTAGCCAAAAGTGAATCGATTGATGATTATTATCATATTGGGTTAGTTAATAAGTACTGGTTCTTATCTATTAAATATAATCAAATATTAATTGAAATTATGCAACCACTCGGTTAGTGGTAAAAAATTATAGATAAAATTTTATCTAATAGAACTTTCTCTATGTTAATCAAAAATTCTACAAATACCAAAATTATTTTTCTGTGAGCAAATTTATTGAATAAAAGTAAGTGGTATAAAAATATATTTATGTTAACAAATTTTAATATTTATATTATAATATAATATACTATTTTCCTAGGAGAATTTTTCTTTTTTGAATTATATTACTTTCTATAAAATTTATTTCTTTTGGAAAAATGCCTAAGTTTTCTGACCAACAATCGGAGACGATATACAAATTTATTTCGTAAATTTCATAAATTTACTATAGGTCATTTTAAAACCAGTAGCATGATTTTAATGATACCAATAGTATTATTTAAACTTAATCAGAACAAATTTTTAGTACAATTTAGTAAAAAATAAATCCAAATAAAGTTCTTAACCGTGTCTCTGCTATAAAACTTTGAGCGTGGGCAAACAAGATGGCGTGTCCTTGACATACGGACAAGCAGTTAATACATTAGTTATCTAACATTAGTCAGTG